AACAATGAAGACTCGGACCACACGTTTTCTCAATAGTTTTTATCCCAGAGCTATAATTGCAATTAATAATGAGCTTAAAGACCACCAGCAGTGAATAATTAGTTGGACTGTGTTACTTGGCCTGCGGTGTAGATGTTTGTATTTTTAGTGGGGGACTTTTAGTGGGTGGGGAGTGTTTGGGGAATTTTATGTGTGTGCATGTGTCTGATCTCTGGGTGTCTGTGAATTTTGTTGTATGTGTATATACTTACAATGACAATAAATTATTATTATTATTATTATTATTAACCATCCACTTCATGTATACCAGCCTTCTAGACAGTGGCCAAAATCAAGGAAACATTTTCTGCACACATCTCAGGCTCTAAATATTAAACCAGAAAAGGCTAAGCTAAAACTATGGAGTTCAAAAACAACATACCTTGTCAAATAGATGGATGCTGAAGAGTGTCTCCCACCAGGACAAAATTCTGGCTGGACTATCTGGAAGTCACTTAATAGACTTCAAAGTGAAGTAGGAAGATCAAAGAATAATCAAGCAAAATGGGGCTGCTTGAATACAGGACAAATTTTCTGTGAATATGGAGAAATTCAATCAATGTAGCATTCATGTGCATGCAATTTATGCCCCACTATGTATACTAAAGAAGATCTACTAAATGTCTGAGATAATGCTGTTAAAGTAGCCTGCTTCTAGTCAAAAATAGTCCAGCCATTTCAACATTTAAATTTGTTTGAACATTATATTTCATATATGTCCATAATTTTAAATTGTGCAATGCTCTGATACGAGTAAAGAAAGTTGAGAGTGTTCAGTGAGTGCTTCCACTTTCCTTTGAAACTGTCACTTCAGAGACAGAGCCTTTGAAATTCTACTCTATGAAACTTTCCTTTGCCCATTCTAACTGAAAGTTAGTTGTTGGAATAGTTAACACCGTCTTTTGCCCAGATTCTTGCCTAGGCCCTTAATCATATTCCAAGAATGCCTGTGCATTTTGCTGATTAGAATACAAAAAAATGTAATAATCCTTGAACAGTAAGGGCTCATGTTGCAGTTTCACACCTCATGAAATGTGTCAGTTTAAGATATGAGACAAATGTAACTTCTAGCCCCTCTCTTTTTCCTTTCTCTCAGATTTTTTGCAAAGCAGTGTGACTTCACGGTAGTCTTATCTCTCATTACTTTGGATACAATGTGGTATTCATCAGAAATGAATATGAGACATGATTTCTTTAAGAGTTAACAAGCTTTCTCTTGGCAATAGCCCCCACCCCTTCCATTTTATACTGTAAGTGAATATAATGCAACCATTCTTAATCACTTTTAAGCAGCACAGCACATTTGTACAGTGTGTGTTGTCACTGAGCAAATAGTTACTGATAATTAATAACAGTGTGCTGTCAAGTCAGTTCTGATATATGGCAGGGTTTTCTAGGGATAAAATGCTCAGAGGTGATTTGCCGGTTCTTCCTTCTGGTGATGCTCTGGGACTGTACTGGTTGCCCAAGACTAAACAGTAGCAGGACTCTTAACCATATAAGCCACATAGGCTGCAGGTGATCTCAGGTGGTCCTTCTTTGGAGAGTTACCGTGTGGATCTCAGTTTCTAGGCCCTGGTTCCACAGTCAGGTGCTCCAACCATCTAAGCTAAGTCTGGATGTGGAAGAATCCTGAGGCTGTGGTGTTTATCTGAGAGAAAGAGAACACTGTTAGTAAACTCTCATGCCTACAGACCAGAGTCCGGGCTCTAATCTGTTATTCCTTTCCTCATCAATGGGAAGTGAGAGATCACAAAGTCTGAGTGTCTTTTTGATAAATAATGAGGGGCAATGACATCACCTGCCAAGTACTTCTGACCCAATATCCTCACAGTAGCTAAGGCAAGAATGACGTTTCTGAACAATGGCATATGGTTATGAGCTAAACTAAAATATTAGGGACTGTTTTGACCCTGAAAGGGCCATTAAACCCATTATTTGTCTGAAAAACCTGCTCCTGGTAGAGATGAATACTGATAGAACTGGTTTGTTGATATGGGTTAGCACAGCTGTCATTTCAGATTCTCTCTGCTGGGTGAAGGACACAGCTGTCATGAAGAATGCCTTCACTTTGAAATTTGCCACTGTCCCACAGGTCCTTTTCCCATGCGAAATCAAATATGGCAAGTTGTTGAGGCTGACATAATATAGGCACAAGTTTTAGTCCAATGTAATGATTAGAGATATATCGTATCTCTTTTGGACAAATTATTTCAAAAGCTGCCCTTAAAGCTCAGACTAGAACCCATACACTGACATCAGGGTTAACAGCTTTGACTGCGCAGGTTTCTAAGTTTACTATACAAGTGTTCTGTTCAGTAAACGGGGGGGGGGGGGTTAGTTTAATGCTTTTAGAAACTAATACAACTTCATTAACATACAAATTGTCTACTGAAGCACTCCCATATAGCTGTCCCAAGACATTTTGCTGCTTGAGGTAAAGGACAAGATAGTCTCCCACCAATGTCTATGTACAGAATTGTGTATATTGTGCATATGAATTGGCAGTTGGATCTTCCTTAAGAGCTGGTGATGAAGTGACATTTTTTCACCACATTTGAAACAGCAGGCTAATCTCAGCTCTACAAGGGAAGAAAAAGCTAGAGAATATGTGAGGATCAGCCAGGGGCTTCACATTGCTGCCCCCAGCATGTATCACCTGATGAAGCAGCCTCACTCTTTCTAATGACAGAGCCATCCTTGTACTCCCAGCACATGTCTTGGTAGGGCATGGCAAAGTTTCTTCAGGCGATCAATATGGATTAAACCATGCTGAAAAGTTCTCCCTTTTGATGTTGTCTTCTCTGGAGGTATGAAAGCTAGGAGGCAAGAAAGTGATCAGTCAGCTAATATCATGGGTCTCTTCAGTTGCCTGACATTTGTAGACTTCATTAACACGCTGGCTGAAATACTGGTGTGCAGTTAAACAAAATGTGTGACTTTTGGAAGGAAATTACTTTAAGAAACCTGCATAAGCATCTCTTGCACACCAAACTATGCAGCTTCCTGCACAACAGATAATGCTTACAGAGATTTCTTAATTAAGAAACCTGCATAAGCATCTCTCACACACCAAGCTATGCAGCTTACTGCACAACAGATAATGCCTGCAGAGATTTCTTAAATTAAATTTTCTTTGAAGACTTATTAACTTTTAGTAACTGCACAACATGATTTCAGCCTTTATTTCAACCATGGAGGTAACATTAAGGGGCCTAAAGTTTGGAACATATTTCTCTTCCTGTTTAGTACCCAGCTTGCTGGGGGGGGGCAATAACTTATCAACTTTTAGTAACTGCACAACATGGTTTCAGCCTTTATTTCAACCACGGAGGTAACATGAAGGGGCCTAAACTTTGGAACATATTTCTCTTCCTGTTTAGTGGGGTGGGAAAACCACACATTGTCTAACAATGATGGTGCAAAAAAAATTATATGAAAATATTTTCATTGTGGAAAAGCATGATGTGATGTTGTGTCAATAATCTGATGACTTTGCTTGGTGAAGTCATGTGGAGAATGGCAGATGGTGAGGCTAAATATCAATACTTTTCAGTGCTGAAGAAAATGTCACATAAATGCAAGAGCAGGCAACACCTTTATGAGATCAAATCTTGAGTCTGTCATTGATTAAAGTTATGTGGCAAAGCTTGTCCCTGTGAATGATTTCTGTATTATGCTCCACGCCATATGTCTGTCAACTAGAATTTCCATAAATCTGGTGGTGCGGCAGTTGAGCACCTAGTGAAAATGTTTTTCTTTTTAAATGCCAATGAAAAAATTGTGAAAACATAAAAGATTTCAGGAGGGATGCTTTATTATATAGTGATGCCCAACTGTATTGCTGCGGTAAGATCTTTTATAGAGGAGTGAAATAAAGATGCACATAATATTTATCTAGCATGTGCAAGTAGACCATGCATTTCACATGCATATCCCATTATTGGGACCTTGCAGTGGAGTGGGGTAGGAAGCAGAAGCAAACATCACTTGAGGCTTATGTTCGGATGAGAGGTCCATTGCTGACCTTTGGGATCCCTGCTATTGCTTCTATAGCCCTTGCTGTTGTCACAGTGCCTTCTCCATGAGCAAGCAGGGAGGGATGTGAAGAGAATATTTCCACATGACTTGTCCTGTTCCTTCTCAGAATGATGCAGGTTGGGTTCTGGAGAGGCAATTACATGGCTGGTGGCAACAGTAGTGAGGACCAGGGAGAGCGCTGCTCTCAACAAGGGATGCCTGATGAGGGCACCTTGCACAAAGGCCCTCCAAAAACTTTAAAGTCAGCATTATGGTATTCATTCGAACTATAATCAACCTCAGAGTAAATCCATTGAAATCAATGAGACTTCCAACTAAATCTGTTTTATTTATTTTAAAAGTTGAATAAATCAGATTAAACGCTCACAGAGCCTAGCAATTCTAAAATAAAACAAACTTCCCCATACAATACATTAAAAATAGCAATAGGTCAAATAGGGATAGATGTGCGGTCAGTTCTAAGTTGGGTGTGGCTTCCCTGACCCCAGGCCACACACACTCTTGGTCACTGAAATGCATCATTTTGATGCTATAGTAATTTTGGGAATGTGAGTAAACAACCCTGGGAATGCTTACTCCAAAGTCCCTTGATTTGATTGAGCATAGTTCCTACGTACTTGCACGTAGAATCACAGATTTAATTAAAAATAAGTTTGGCAGGTCCTTGGAGTAAGGCAACATCCAATTTATCAAACAAGCAGCAATGAAAATCAGTACCTCTCAAAAGTTCATGTCACATTAATATTTATACCACGTACAAAATTAGCAGTATTCCATTTGCCGATACATGTACTGCCATCCATTATGGTGACAAATTAAAGCGATAAAAATGGACATAAACTGGAGCTAAATGTTGTTTTGCTGCACAAGAGATCACAGAAGCATAACTTAAAAGAGTGTTGAATTTTGCCATTTTGCAGATGAATTCAAGTTCTTTATGAAAAGGCTGCCCATGAACTATTTCCTCAACACATCTGCCATAATGCACTTGTGGACAATGGATTCAAATTTTCAGCATCGCTATGAGCAACTGGAAACCAGCATGAAACAACTGTTCCTTAAGGCACAGAAAATTGTTCATAAGCTCTTTAGCCTTAGTAAGAGGTGCCATAAACAGCCACTGATCAGCTTGCCGAGGCAAAGGTAAGAAACAAATAAGAAAATGCAACCAACAGAGTATAGTAATTCCCAAATGAGTCTTGTGGATGGCTTGTGGAAATGATAGAAAGGGGTGGGGGTGGGCAGAGCCATAGGTGACGTCAGTGCTGACACCTACTATAGAATCACAAAGAATGGACATGATTATTTTGGAATATCTTAAACGTTTAGGCATAACTGACCAAGAATACTCTTGTGACACTGGAAGATAACTGACATGGATGGTGGTGGCAGTATGGTCTCATATTATTTCTTTGTCCTGAGGGCATGTGACACATGTTGCCTATCCCTACCTGAGCAGCTGCGTTCTTCTGGCCATGGCTATGTTCCTGCTAGATAGTGGTGTGAAGTGAGAAAAATCAGAAAAAGACAATGTTACTACATGCATCAGTAGTCCAAGCAGGGGTCTACAGGTTTGCACTGACTTCCCTGGACGATCTAAAAATTGACATCAGCAGCACCACCCATTGGATTGTGCTGCCTACAGGCACTCTGCTTCCTTTTCCCAACAGAAAAATTATTTGGGATAAGGACACAGGACTCTGCTATCGAAAAGTGAACCACACATGTTTAGAAAGCACAGCCTTTTCTCTTCCCTCTACCTGGTCTTTCGAAAGGGATAGGGAGCACCTCTCCCTGGCTGCTTTTCACAAGCCACAGCAGAAAAGGCCAGCAGTGGGGAGGGGGCAGCTTCCCTGCATTGTCATGGCGCTTTGCTCTCACTATGCATATGCCTAACAATTGCTAGCTCCCCCTCGCTCCAATGTTTGGAGCTGAAGAAGAGATGAAAGACCCTGTGCAACTGCTTGGATCATTCCTGCCCAGTACTTCCAGCTTCAGTTGTTGTTGTTTAGTCATTTAGTGGTGTCCGAGTCTTTGTGACCCCATGGACCAGAGCATGCCAGGCTCTCCTGTCTTCCACTTCAGAGTTGGTAGGAATTCCAGCAGCTTGCTGGTAGTTAGTAACACACTGACTGTGGTGAGTGTAACAAACAGATATAAGCCACAATCCAATACATTATTACATGGAGGAGAGGTTTTCAATGGAACTAAAGAGCCCTTGGGTCCTGTGAGAGGGTGAGGTTTAACTCAAATATATTCATAAGTAAGATGAGAAGAATATCATTTTCAGTTGCATCCATGAAAGGATAAAGGTAAAGGTTCGCCTTGACAATTGTCCAGTCATGTCTGACTCTAGGACGCAGTGCTCAGGCCCGTTTCAAAGCCATAGAGCCAGCATTTGTCCATACACAGTTTCTGTGGTCATGTGGCCAGTGCAACTAGACACGGAACACTGTTACCTTCCCACTGAGGTGGTACCTATTTATCTACTTGCACTTGCATGCTTTCAAACTGCTAGTCTGCAGGAGCTGGGACAAGATCGAATCCACTCCGTTGCGTGGATTCGATCTTATGACTGCTGGTCTTCCAATCTTACAGCACAGAGGCTTCTGCGGTTTAACCCATAGCGCCACCACGTTCCTGGGTAGCATGACATATAGTTCTACTCTTTCATACATATTGGTTGGAATCCTGTTCCTTGGCATGTTCATTCTAGTCACACTAGAGTAAGCCTGCACTAGAGTAGCCAATGGGGATTTGGTGAGTATACCCCCCCATATGCTGCTCCATGTAGTCACCCCAAGAAATGGCCAAAAGTCATTCACAAGAGGCAGGGCCTTCTTTGCAGTGGAACCAATGTTATGGAATCAGATCCCAGAGGAGTTATGCCAAGGTCCCTCCATGCTTTCATTCAGGAGGCAACTGAAAACACTACTTTTCAGGGAGTTCTTTCACACCAAACTTGGGTGAATGTCTGCCTTCTGTCCTGCTACTATTGGAAAATTTTATTTTTGGTGCCATTTGGTTTAATTCTACCCTGCTTCCCCGAAAATAAGACCTAACCTGAAAATAAGCCCTAGTATGATTTTTCAGGATGCTCCTAATATAAGCCCTACCCCCAAAATAAGCCCCAGTTAAGTTAAACCCCACCCTCCACCATTGTGCAGCAACCAAAAGAAGATGACATGACTATAAAAAAAAAACACGCTGGAAATAAGCCTTAATGTGTTTCTTGGATCAAAAATTAATATAAGACCCTGTCTTATTTTCAGGGAAACACAGTATATGCTGTTTGTGTTTTAATTTTACTGTTCATTTTTATGTTCATACGTGTTTTAGCTTGTTGCAAACCACCCAGAATAGTGCTTTTGTGCTAATGGGGCTGTATAAAATTAAACAAAATTAAATTCCATTGATTCAAATGGACCTATTCAAGTGGTGACTTGCAGATATTCCATTAGTTACAATTCACCAAATTATATGATTGTTGCTCTTGCAGTGGTTGTGTGTGCCTCCTTAGTTTAGATCAGATCTGGGAACATTGCATTGTAAAAGACATATGTTGTATTACTCATTACAGGAAAGTTAATAGGTGTCAGTCATTACAGAGGAGTAATTTAGGTTTCATTCATTATCTCTAAAAAGTAACTTTGCAAATGTTAGTTAGATTACTAATTGCTCAAAATAGCTGTCTTACAGGTGTGTTGTTCTTTCTACATTTCTGCTGTTAGCAAATCTGTGTCAGATGAACACATTGTTAACTTTCCCTTGGTAGTCCTTTCACATCATACTCGGAGATGGTGTGATCCATAATGTAATGATATCATCTTGATGAGAAAATAGCCTGAAAATGTAACACTTTTCGACAACTGAAATGAAGTAGGTGGGGTTGGGAAAAAAGGTCAGAATAAGACACTGCAATCTGGAAGGCTCTCCTAAACACTTTGGAGGAAAACCAGAATATAAGGTTGCATTCTTATGTATGCTTGCCTGGCAGAATGTCTCACTTAAACTCAGTTATAATATGCCCATGCAATGATTTAATATATCCAAAGTGCTCATTAATATGGGATGTGTGTGTTTAGTCGTTTAGTCGTGTCCGACTCTTCGTGACCCCATGGACCAGAGCACACCAGGCCCTCCTGTCTTCTACTGCCTCCCGGAGTTGTATCAGGTTCATGTTGGTTGCTTCGCAGACACTGTCCAGACATCTCATCCTCGGTCGTCCCCTTCTCCTCTTACCGTCACACCTTCCTAACATCAGAGTTTTTTCCAAGGACTCTTTTCTTCTCATGAGATGGCCAAAGTACTGGAGCCTCAGCTTCAGGATCTGTCCTTTCAGTGAGCACTCAGGGTTGATTTCCTTTAGAACTGATAGGTTTGTTCTCCTTGCAGTCCAGGGGATTCTCAAGAGCCTCCTCCAGCACCACAATTCAAAGGCATCAATTCTTCAGCGGTCTGCTTTCTTTATGGTCCAGCTCTCACTTCCATACATCACGACA